CAAACACGAAAAAAAAATAAAATCAGATTGCTTTGCCTTTATGACCTCTTCCTATTAGTGAGTTGTATATACACTGTTGAAATCTGATCTAACAAGAATTTCTATAGGATTTATTGAAATAAACTTGCAATGAGTTTACTTCTACATTCATAAAATATATCTTTATAGCAAGAATCATATTTAAAGTTTTTAAAAGCAATTATTTTATAAGGTTTTTACGCGTATATTTATAAATCACTTTACTTGGAAAATTAAATGCAATTCTATGTTGTGTAAAAATTTCATAGCTTTACCAATTACCATTAGCTCACTAGAACAAAATATATGGTTTAGGGCGATTTTTTGCGACTATTGTTTTTTTTTCTCTCCTATCTCAAAATTTTATGGAAAACACCTCGCAATGTTCACTGGACCAAATTTTTTATGTGGCGTGAACCTCCACTTGGAATATACTAGGGAGCAGGGACCATAACAGTTACAACTTTTATTAAAAAGAAACGCTCTTTAACAATTATTTTTTTTCTTTTATTTAAGTACTCCTTAAATAACCGTTATTTCTGCCTTTTATTTTATAAATCCAAAATAAAAATCATTTTGGATTTTTATCCAAATAAACTGCAAATGAGACTCAATATTAAAAAAAAAATTTATTTGCAATTTTTAGCAAAATTAAAAAATAACACTTATTTTTGATTTTTAATTATAAATCCAAAATAACACTTCTTTTTGATTTTTAAATTATTTGTCTTAAATAACAGTTATTGAAGACTTAAATTTATAAAAGTCATAAACAAAAATTAGTCAGTGACCTTTATTTTTTAAATCATACTTATAAGAGTCATTTGTATAAGTCGTAGTAAACTTTAGTTTCCCAACACCTTTAATTGTTATTTTGGATTTATAATATAAAAATCAAAAATAATTGTTATTGTTTAATTTTGCTAAAAATTGCAAATAAAAATTTATTTTCAAATTTGAGTCACGGTGAAAAAAGAAATCGATTGGTATGTAACAGGGCTGTTGCGAATATTCGCATTCGCATTCGCAAACGCGGAGCTTCCGCATTAATTTTAACATTCGCATTCGCTTTCGCATTCGCAAAAATCAATGCGGATCTTTTGCGAATGCGAATATTGAAGGGACAGGAAATTACAGTTATTTTTTTACGAGTTAAACTTGGCCAAATATTTTTTATTCCCGACCAAAAGTCCTTTCCGGACAATAATCAAACCGCTTATCCAAATTAAACAAGTTTGGTATCAAATGAAAGAGGACTTAAATAGCTTTAAAACTGAAATGTCTTAACGAGCAAAGTCACATATTGAAAAATATTTCAATAAAAAATGATAATTAATTACCATAGAACAAACCTTGGGTCAGGTATATGAATGTCTTTAGTATTAAATGATATAAAAAAAATATAAATAGAGGTGGTAACCTTCGTTCGTTATTTCTGTTTAAAAGCTATTTCAGTCCTCTTTCACGTGATATTAAATTTGGTTAATTTTGGTAAGCTGTTTGTTTATTATCCAGAAAAAACTTTTATTTCGGAATAAAAAATATTAGGCCAAGTTTAACTGGTAAAAAATAACTTTATTTTCGGTCCCTGGAATATTGTGCGAGTGCACTGATAAAACGTATATCTGGCTAGTCACAGAAGAAAGGATTAAAAATAAACAGGTTCTCCAAATTCAGAAACAAACAAAAGAATGAGAATGAAGAATTCTTTGGAAAACAACGGTGTTTAAACAACGATCTTGCCATGATACTAGATTGTGAAGATGAAAGTCAGGAGGTTACATCCGACATTTGCAGCCCGATTCAATTCTCAAAAAAGAATTATTGCGTCCGCAATAAAAAAAAACAATAAATATAACTGAAAGTCCTCTCGACTCGTGCAGCGTCAGTCGAAAAGAATTTACAATTTTGTCAAGTTTCAAGTTTTTCAAGTTTGTCGCCTCAAGCGAGCAGGTATTTAGTGGCCCTGATTTACGACCCTTTAAAAACTTTTTATTGGATACACTGTTCCAATTTTTAAATTCAAGTACTAAAAAAACATTATTAAAAATTACTAACCTTTACATTTGTTATTAAACTAAATCACCTAATTTACTCACCCAAATTATTTATTAACAAGTAAAAAAGTCTAAGTTCGGGCGGATCCGAAAACTACCGCTACATGGTAAGCAGGGGTGTGGATACCTCTATTTCAAACATCTTCGATAGAACGTTCCGTTAGATATAATGAGATAAACTTATATAGATATATGTGAGCGGCATCACGCCCATTTTCCAAAACTCAATAATAATGTTACTTCTATTCAAGGGATTGTTTGGGTAAAATTAGCGTCCTTAAATTTCGAAATATCGAAGTTTGAAGCATTTCTGAAATTTACCGTTATGAAAAAGTGGGCGTAATTTTAGTCCGATTTCGATAACTTTCAACGTTTTGCCTTTATGTGGCAACCACAATAATCGTCCCGAGATGGTACAAATTGATCGAACGGTTACCGAGATACACATATGGGTATTTCCATACGTCGCATACGTGACAGTCGTACGTTTCTATGTGATACAAACAAGGAATACCATTTCTTTAACTTTTTTGGGCCATTGTACAGCACATAATTAGCTCTATATTTAACTGAATGAAAACAATCGAACTGCTTGGTCCTGAAATATAAGCATTTAAAGAGAGTGTCGTTACGTGACAAAAAATGGAAGTAGATTTTTTCTTTTCTTACAAAATCGCAAAACTCTGCGAATTGTGGATGGCTATTTTCATGAAACTTATTTTAATATGATTTGGAGCAATTCTAGTTGTTTTTAGAGTTTTTTGAATTAATGCAACTTGTTTCAATTTTCTTTTACAACCCCAAGTGTGAAACGTCACGGACATAGCGTCACGTGACATAAATTTCCATCGTTATATTTTTGTTAATATTGCTTTTAAATAAATTTTTAACGCAAATAAAACATGTATTTTATGTAGAATATACTTTATATTTTGACTTCAGCGCCAATTTGTGAATTTGTTGGAAATCTATGACTTATTATGTTTCAACTACATACGCCAAATTCGAACCAAATCGGACCATAAATACGGTTTTTCGAAATATCTCAACTTTGGCGCCACCTAGGAAGACCATTTTACGCAAACATGATTCTACTTACATAGCCAGCAGGGACCGAACATAACAGTTATTGATGAAAACTGTCATGGAAAAATTCACTATGAAGGAAATGTTCTACAACTAAGTGAAACATACCAATCGATTTCGTTTTGCACCGAGACTCAAATTTGAAAATAAATTTTTATTTGCAATTTTTATGCAAAATTTAAAAAAATAACAATTATGTTTGATTTTTATATTATAAATCCAAAATAACAATTATTTTTGATTTTTATATTATATGGCTTAGATAACAGTTATTGAAGAGTTTTATTTATAAAAGTCATCAATAAAAATCAGTCAGTGACTTTTACTTTTAAAGTCATTAATATAAAACAGTGACCGACTTATATTTTTTTAATCAATCGTATAAAAGTCATTAACATTTTTCGCAGTTAAGAAGGTGTTGGAAAACAAAAGTTTACTACGACTTATTCAAATGACTTTTATAAGTATGATTGAAAAAATAAAGATCAGTGACTGATTTTTATTTATGACTTTTATAAATAAAAGTCTTCGATAACTGTTATTTAAGACATATAATTTAAAAATCAAAAATAACTGTTATTTGCAGATTATTTAAATAAAAATCAAAAATAATTGTTATTTTCGATTTATAAAATAAAAGTCAGAAATAACGGTTATTTAAAGAGTAATTAAATAAAAGTCAAAAAATAATTGTTAAAGAGCGATTTTTTTAATAAAAGTTGTAATTGTTACGGTCCCTGATAGCCAGTATATATTTTAAAAAGCAGACTAATCGGCCCGTAAATACGTTAGATATAAGACTTTTATTTTTTTTTTGTCGTGGTGGACCATCCGATGGAAACACCCATATGTGATCATAACTGGGCGGGGTCACGCCCATTTTCTAACATTTTATTATAGGCGTATTTTTTGCTAAAGAAGTATTGCAAACATCAATCTGGAATAAATTAGCTCCAGTATTTACTGATGTAGCGAAGCTTTCGTATTTCTCTAAATTACCGTTATATGGGATATGGGCATGGTTATTATCCGATTTTTTAAATTTTCAGCCGTTTGGTATGTTTTGTGAAGGCCAACAACTGTGTCTGTGTTTAGGAGAAATCGGCGGAGCGGTTTCCAAGGTATACACATGTATTCATAAGTGGGCGTGGCTACGCCCATTTCCCAAAAATGTTTAATATTCTTATTTTTCGCCTAAAAATTATTGTAAATATCAATTTTGAGTGAATAAGCTTCGGTAGTTACTAAAATATCGCAGTTTTCGTATTTCTGAAAACTACCGTTGCATGGGAGGTAGGCGTGGTTATCGTCCGATTTTGCCTATTTTCAATACCATCCGTCCTACGCTCTAAGGAAGTATCTTTGTGTGTATACTTCCTTTGAACGTAGGACGGATGGTATTGAAAATAGGCAAAATCGGACGATAACCACGCCTACCTCCCATGCAACGGTAGTTGCTTTCGTTAAGATATCTCAATTTGTACTCGAGTTATCGTGTTCACAGACAGACGGACGGAAGGACAGACAGTCACCGCTTAATAGATTTCTCTTTTCATTCTGATCATTTATGTATACATTTTTCTATATCTATTTCGATTCGTTTTGCCTGTTACAAACAACCGTTATGTGAACAAAGTTAGCGTTGAAACATCCGCATCCGCATTCGCATCCGCGGATGTCTAAAATTCCACATTCGCAACATCCCTGGTAGGTATAACTTAGTTGTAGAACATTTCCTTAATGGAGAATTTTTCCATGACAGTTTTCATTAATAACTGTTATGTTCGGTCCCTGTTAGGGGGTCTGCCCGTGGGAACAGTGATATTTGATTGCCCAAAGATGCCGGGTGATTTGAGCAGCCTGTGTATCAAATTAGAGAGTGCAGCTGGAAGTACTCCTGGATGTTAGTGTCGGTGCATCTTGCTTTATTCGCTAATTCTATTTTAAGGTTTTTTTTTTCGAAGCTAATAATTCTGCTTATATCGTCTCATGGGAATTGGGTAATGAGTATCTCTTACCGGTGAGATTACAATTAACGAGATGAGAATACCTTCTATCTACCTCACCCTTCACTGGGGAAGTTTATTAGGGATCGTATGGTTGCCTGCTCTATGCTATTTAGTCTGCAGTGGCGTGAGCTCAAGAATAACCTCCGTTTCTGCCGTAGGATAGATACACATTGCACCTGTAGGGTAACTGGGTTCTCTCCCCGTTGCAATAAAGCGGGATGAAAACTATCCACAGCTGGGGGACCCATCCGACAATAACTCGCGAGAAGATTCTTCCTGACCATAGTCTGGTCTGATGTATCCGGAAAGTGTGTGGAGAGCAGGACAGAGCACGCGTTCCTCCTCTCTACCAATGTGCATGCCATTGGCTGCTGACTCGCTAGCTGGGACTCTATCCTAACCATTCTAGGCCTTTATATAGTCACTCCGCTACAGGAGTGGATGTTATATTCACGCAGAAGCTTCTGAAGCTTTCCCTCTTTGCTTTTCTGATATCTTTATTGTATATAGCTATGCTCGTGAATTGCTTCCGCACGCCTTTCCTGAGTACTGAGAGGTCATCAGGCCACCGTGTAGTTTTCGAATGATTTCCGGGGTTTGATTACGTTTCCTGATAGCTACTATTGAATGCATCCAGTAATCTATCACTATATTTTTGCATATTACATATGTATGTTTAGGTCGTTACTTACAATAAATTCAAGAGGTGACTGATGCCTGATTTTGGTGTCCTAACTACCCCACTCCCCATGGTGCGCATTTGCATCGCTGCCCATGACGAGAATGAGTCCCTTCTTCCAGCAGTGACCTATCCGCTTCAGGCCCTCAATCGGGGAACTTTTTGCTGTCTCCCGGAAGGTATACGGCAGCGAAGACGATGTTTATCGGGTTCCTGACAAGCTAAGTTTCGTCTGGCACGCTACCTATTGTTGACTCAAAAACTCTGTAATGCAGAAGTTAAGGTTTAACTCGGCTACAATTATGGGTCGGTTATCTCTGCATCGGCTCATCAATGTCGGAAGGCCTCATCTCGCTCGAACTACTGCAGTCACGCTCGAGCTTTCCCTCCCATAATTCCTGCGTTGTTGGCAGAAGCGAAGCGGGTAGTTTGATCTCCTCGCTGGGGGTAATGCTGCTGCCGTTGCCAGACGTACTAATTTTATCAGTACAATACTGAGCATACAAGTTTGTAATAGTGGTCTTCGCACCGAGTTTGGTACTCGGTAACTCGGTTCGGTAATTTTCCCCATGTATTTTGTTTGTGTAATTCTATTTTACACAAAAAAAGTACTTTAGGATTTTTTAAGGCTTTTACATAACATTGGAACTTCCTTAAACTGTTCTGTAAAAAGTAAAAAGAAAATAATTTAATTATAGTTGATATGTTTCAGATAATGATTAATATGCGCACGAAATTAATATAACAAAAAGAGCATCCGTTTTATGGGCGTATCGCCTAGTCGTTGCGTACCGATTATGTGTTGGGGTATAATTTATTTAAAAAGAGGGCTGACCTATTTTTGTCGAGTGTTGTTAGTTATCTCGAAAATTACTTTCAGTTTAATAACAACAAATTTGAATTATTGGATGGCTTTCGACTACAACTTACAATAAATTACTCAATTTACTGACATTGTAAAAGAGTTTTGCATACAAGACATCGAGTTAGATACTGTTTTAATACAATTATTTGCCTTTCAAAGTCTGTGCGCAGTAGAAAAAAGTAATTTACGCCACGAGGAAATATGGATGAAGTCTTAAAATAGTGGTACGTTTCCACGGTTTGAAAAAATGTTAAATTTGGTTTTTTTCAATACCACACTCAAAAGAAGTAACTGAGAGGTTCTTAAGTATAAAGTTTGCTACCTGGCGCAAAGAGAAAAACTGAATTCTAATTAAAATTTTTGAAAGCGAACTTCAAATTAAACGTGGTTTTAAAATGAAATGTAAAGAATTATTTGCCTATTTAAACACGGATCTCATTATTGCTATTCAAAAATGCCATAAATCTATACTATTATATAAAATTGATTATATGGAGTACGTTTGTAACGATTTGTTTCTCAAAGTACTAAACCGATTTTAATATTTTTTTTTTAAAACGAAGCATTTGTAAAAAGACGCAGAGTGGCATACTTATATTTTTTATTCTTGGAAGATAAGCACCCTTTTTTTGGGTGTAAAGTTACAAAAAATTACAAAGCCGTACAAGCATAAGCCTATTTGGTTGCCAAATACAGCGCATAGCTACGCGAAAAAACTGTACATCAGTGCCGATCAAACACGAGCTCACAAAGGCAAAAGAGATGTGTATGAGCGACGTTACTGCGTTATACCACATACATACACACATAAACGTATTTAAGCTAAACAGCGATCACTGATTGAACATCGAAAGGCAAAGCATCGCTTCGATGCAGTGTTGCCACAACACTTTTTTATTTTTTACCAAAATCACCAGTAAAAGTTACCAAATTCAACAAAAAATTACCAAACTTTTTTTATGTGGAGAACTGTGCACAGATATGTTTGTACATACATATATCCGAAGACACCAAGCTTTTCAGGCAACCAGCGCTTCATTCAGCTATAATTTTTATATCTTCGTGAACGCTAAAAGTCGCAACAACAGAAACGCTTGGTGAGGATTTCAAACCTAAGTGTGGCCAAAGACACAAATTTGTCGATTGCGTGTTGCTTTAAGTACATATGTATATTTTGCATTTGAATATACATCTCCATCAATACAAAGCTCAGGCCACAAAGCAACTGAAGCCATGTGATCATTACCTTTGTCATGGGTACGGTTCATTGCAACAGAGTATTATTAGGCGCATCATTTCCCATAGAGAGGATGTCATTTTGCCATTGAAATCATCCGACTTGGCACCATTGGAATTTTTTAGAAAGGCGCATTTATGCGAATAAACCTAAAATTTTGAAGCATTTTAAAATCAAAATTTGTCTATATATAACAACAAATATCTTAAAAATTCAACGCTTCAAGGCAGTTCTGAAAACTTTCGACTGACGCAAAGACAAATTGAAGTCCCCTACTGAATGCCGTAGCTTTTTGAACGTACATATTTACATAGAATTCTACTCATACATATGGTTGCCAGGTTACGCCGGAATATTGAATGCTGCCGGATGCCGGAATTGCAATGCTGACCTTCCGGGACATGACTCGATAGATATAGCAATAGCCACTTTCAAGCAATTTGTTAGAGATCACACCATTCTAGAACCAAGGAACGCTGGAACAACTTTTCGCCTTGCAAATCTTTCAGGATTACCTGGTATTTCTATAAAAGGAAACGCTTACGGCGCACTTCCTAATGGGTAATCAGAACTGGCTTTGACCTATGTTACATGTAGGATCGAATCGAAAAAGTTACCAAATTGAAAAATAAGTTACCAAATTTTACAAATATAGAAAAAAATTACCAATTTTGGTAAAAAGTGTATGCTTCGTATATGTATACAAGCAATTACCCGGCGTGCTTCGCTGCGCCTTAAATGTATTTTTGTGTTGTAACTCTCTAAGCTCTTATGGCCTCATTTAAAAAATATTTTTAAAGAACTTTAT